CTCGCATTCTGTTTATTATGAACCTGTCTATTTCCACTTTCCTCCTGAATATTGTGATATCATCACAGTTTTCTACTGTTTTCTCGAAGGAGATGGCGGCACCATTAACACTTAATAGCACCCGTTTTGATTTGGTTTCTTTGCGCCTCACTTCCATGGTTGAATGCTGTCTCCCTAGAAAGACAATGAGACAGTCAGTGATTTCAGTAACGTTAATGGCTTTTTTTTATACATTAACATCTGAAGTAGACTGTGACCAGTGGTGCATGGGATGAATCCAGCTGAACCAAAAGAAAGTTGAGGGTGAACAAGTGTAGAATACAATTTTTTTTAGCTTGTTAGCAAAAAATGGATGCATGTGAGTTAGTTACTTCTGATAAGATTTTTAAGGCAAAAAGTGTTGAACCACAAACTTTAATCTCCATTTTTAAACGAGGATCCAGTTACTCCTCCTGCATCACTGACTATGGTACTTATGGATGGGTGCCGACAGTGACCAAGCACCCTGAATGCAATACAAGTAGACGAACAATCCTGCTAGTATTTCTACCTAAAATTTTTGTGTCCACTGTTTTCTTGTTACCAAAAAATAGTGTGAATATTTTTTAATCTAATAATAAAAAACTTGCTTGTAATAGATTTTATGAGCTTAAAGCTGAAGAGACTCTACTGATACTTCATTAGTGCTGAAAACACTTTAGTTCTCTCTCATCTTATCAAGCATCATCTTAAAAAAACAAGTTTTCCTAATACAGAATTCTTGGAACTATATTTTCTTATCTACACATGCTCAATTTATGCTACATATTATATCATGATTGATTGTTTCAATTACCTAGTTATGTTCACATTATACCATGACAGTTTTGGTTTTTATGAAGATATTTAATATAAAATGCATGACTGTATAGTAATAGTGTATATAAACTATGCCATGAATTAATTTAAAAACAGGTTCTTTTATGATTTCTTCCCACAGAAAATAATTTATACAAAATTTATGTTAGTTTTAATAAAAGAAGAAAACAATCACAAAGTCTGCCACTGAGTGGGTTTGACATGAATAATTTTCTTCATATTTTTTTTACCATTTGAAGATTATTTTTGTCCATGGTAAGAATGAAAGCACATGCATTTCTCATTGCTGCTGAAAATGGGAAATGGCTGCTTTGAGTTGGTGAGTGGGCAGTGTTAAGTGTTCCAGGAAGAAGTGTGCGTATGTGTGTGTGTTATTGCGAGTGTGTGTATGCCAGCCAGATTGTTTCATTTGATGAGTGGGTGATGTTGAATAGAATAAAAAAAAAAAAAACATCCTGAAACAGCAGCATTTTACAAAAATATATAAATACACATCACACAGGAACCCAGTTCTATAAGCACTGCTGTGACGCAAATCGTTGCTTTGATTATGCCCTGCTGTTTCCTGGGGAATATTTAAACATGTATAGGCAGATATAAATGTAAATGCATGGACTGTTAGATCAATTTAGTAGACTGTCTCAATTTGACAAACTTCTAAAAACAAAGTTTCTTTGAAATAAAAACTCATGTAAGCATTCATGCATGTTTTGTTGTTAAAGATTAACACACTTCATTAAAATGTATCAGTGTTATGTTTGTTATGGTAGGTGTTAAACACAAGTTAACCTTAATTGAGTGGGATATGTATATTGAAATGGATTTTATCAACAAGTGTTTGAATCTGGTTTAATTCAATTTCCCTTAGCCCCTAAATGTAGTACTAACAGTTCTGAACTCAAATTTTCTTCACACTGAAACTTTCAGTTTTGTCCAAGGTAATTGATATTTTGCTGTAATTAGAAAAACAGTACAATAATTTGAACAGTAGCACAATAAATGCCTGTTCTAATCAGTATTAAAGGTGGTATAGCAAAACACTTGAGTTTGACTTTTTTTAAATTTTGTCCTCAGTCTGTTCTTCATCTGTACAACATTCACTTCATCTGAAGGGTTGTGTATTGGTCGCTGCAGTGTTAAGTTTACAAATGTTCCAAAAATAGTGTCACATTTCGTATAGGTTGGACCCAGGAAAGCAGCAAACATTGGGAGCTTCACAAAACAACAACAACAACAACTTAAAATGTTAATCAGAACACTCTGCACAGTCTTGTTGATTTTGCTTTAAACTGAGTGCCGTTTCGATGTGGGCAAGATTGTTATAGCAAGAACGCTCAAGGCTCGTAATGTAATTTTTTTTGCCATATACAATGGAAAACGACCCCTGCAAATGCATCACAAACAATGATGAGTCCAGCTACAGGCAAGAGGTGGAACACCTGGTGAGCTGGTGCAGAGAGAATAACCTTCACATCAATGTGAAGAAGACAAAGGAGATGATTGTGGACTTCAGAAGGAACAAAAACACCTACACCCCCCTGAACATAAGAGGATCTGTGGTGGAAGTGGTCTCCAGCTACAAGTACTTGGGTGTACACATGAATGACAACCTCAGCTGGAGCAACAACACCACCAGCCTGATCAAGAAAGCTCATCAGAGACTCTACTTCCTCAGACGGCTGAGGCGAGCTGGTCTGGGAAGCTCAGTCCTCACCTCCTTCTACAGGTGTGCAGTGGAGAGCATCCTGTGCTCGAGCATCAATGTGTGGCATGGAGGCTGCACAGCTGCAGAAAGAAAAGCTTTGCAGAGAGTGGTGAAGGCTGCACAGAAATCTGTTGGAATCAGTCTCCCCACCATCACAGACATCTACACCTCCAGATGCAGGAAGAGGGCCACCTGCATCATGAAGGACCCCACTCACCCAGCACACACACTTTTTGCCCCACTCCCCTCAGGAAGGAGGTTAAGGAGCATTAAGTGTAGAACCACTAGACTGAGGAACAGCTTCTACCCTGAGGCTGTTAGACTCATGAATCTCTAACTAGAATAATCACTGTGAAAAACCATATCATGTTGCTGCTGATCTGTTTCATGTTGCTGCTGATCTGTTTCAATGTTGATGTGTTCATGCGTGCACATCTGCTCACAGACTCATGTTCATGTTTGTGCTGATGTTCAATGTTTTATGTTATGAGTGCTTAGTGTATATTTAGTTGATGTTTTTCTTAGTTCATATCTTAGATGTTATTACTGTTTTTCTTATACATTTTATTGTTGGATGTAACTGGGACCCTGCGTACATAATTTCGCTCCACCACATGTACCACATGAGGTGCGAATGACAATAAAGAAACTCTGACTCTGACTCTGAAAATGTCACATCTTTTGCTGCCTTTTCCATGGCTCCTGGGGCAGAACGGACCAGGAACACACCGATCGACAGCCTCTGCTGTAACCGGCTCGCTGTGGGGGTTCTGGAGGGTGCTCTGTGGTTGTGGTGGCAGCCGGGGCTCCTGAGGATGTAGTTGCGGCCGTGGAGCATCTCTGCTGCTGGAGTCTGTTCCTGCCAGCGTTCAGCCGTCCAGACGTAGTGGGGGTTCGAGCGAGACTGGGTCACGTGTCGTCTGACCTGCTCCAGGGCATCCGAGGAGGATTGAAGCTGGTCCAGCATGGACTGAAAATGAGGGCCGAAAAGTCCGTCCGGACTAATTGGGCCTTCCAACAACTCTTTTTTTTTTTTATCTCGTCTGGGATGGACAAAGAGATTTTTAACCACATCTGCCTCTGCAGCACAGTTGCCCAGGACATTATGTGGGTAGCGCAGACCGCCTGCGCAGCACACAGATTTGTGATGGTGTCAGCCATGGTGCAGAACTTGTCCAAGTCTGCAGCAGAAAAGTCTGGCTGTTTGGCTTTCCATGAGATGCTAAGTGCCAGAATCATCATGTTGTTCATCGCTGCTGCTGTCTGCGAGGCGCACTGATGGATCCTGTCAGTGAACTTCATGGTCAGTTGGTCGCTGAGGGTGGAGGGATGATACGCATTCAATGTATCGTGCCGCTTTCACCCCAAATACAGACAACAGCCTGGGCTTCATGGGCGGAACTGCCAGAAAACCATGGTCCGTCAGCCCCTCCACCTTCATGATGGATGCAAAGGTGGAGACAGGTGCCTTTGGCTTTAGCAGTTCTGAGGAGGAATCCACCAAAAAAGAAGAAACCACCAGGAAACAAGGCCAGACCGGGTCCCGGTGGTTGGGCTGCTGGGTGGCAAATCTTCCCACCAGGAGGTTGGAGGGTGGCGGCACTGTCTGACTGGAAATGGACAGATCGCATGTCATTGCCGCTTTCTGGATGGTGTCCAGCAAAATGTGGACAAGAGCACCGATTGCCGGGAGGAGGGTGACGGAGGAGGTCTGGATGCCTTGGGGTCCTTCCGTCGATGGTAGCTCCATCTCTGTCTCTCTTGTCCAAGAGGAGGGAGCAAGGCTGCTGGCCATCTCCACTTCAGAGGTAGACGCGTCCGAATCCTGCCTCGCGTCGAGGACGTCCAGGAACCTGTCCAGCGTGTAGGACTCTGCCGGTTCTCCTGGGAAAGAGGAAAAAAACTCTACCCAGTGCTGTTTCTTTTTTGATGGGAGAAGTCTGCTGGACGGGCAGGAGGTCTGCGGCATCACGGCCTGGCGGGCATGGGCGCCCCCCCTGGCAGCCTTTGCAGATGAGGTGCAGGTCCGACAAAAGGATGTAGCCTGAGCTGCATCCCTGGCAGAAACGAATCGTTCCACTGGAGGACATTTTGCTCTTTTGTTTGTTTTTGTTCGCTCAGTGTTAGCTGGCTAAAGAAAAAAGGGGAGCCGAGCCACGGACCCGCGGGCACTTATATGATCTATGTGGGGCCCACACAATGGGTGGGCATGGACTTGAGTTTTCAGTGTTGGCACGCTGTGCTCGGGGTTACACCCACTAGATGTGGCTTAAAGGGCAAGCCCACAAGAAATGGAACTACTGGTGCTCCTTTATCAACCTTAATAAAGTACTAAACTAAATCAATAAATTTAGCTATTTTTTCTTAGTCTCTTTACATAATGTTTAGAGGTATGTTTCATTTACTTTCTGCATTTTTTGTGACTGTCTGTTTTCAGAACAAGTTTCAGCACGAATTGTACAGGAAGTGACAGCAGAGGCAGTGGCAGTACTGAAAGGGGAACAAGAAACTCAGCGGCTGCCATCAGGTGAGACGCACCTTGAAATAACTGTGTGAGTGCTACAACATAAGAGCCATGTAGGACATATATACAAGCTGGCATGGCTGAATAAGGGTCAGTTCAAATTCTGTACAGCTCTCCAGTGATTCAGACAGCTAATTAGGCCACTTTGAGTCAGCATTCCTCACACCTGAAGTTCAGAAGTTCATCACACTACATGACATCATAGAATCTCCCACACGTTATTCAGAGAAGACATCATATTTACAAGCTAAACTATCATTCACTGTACATATACCCATAAGAAACCAGACAACTAAAGTGATGCAGTAAGAACGCTCATCATTTTATACACACATAGCCTGTTGCATGGGTGGATGCAATTTTGATTGGTCTCACTTTGCTCTACTGGTATATCTCTCTGTATACTAAAAATGATTATGTTGAACGTTTTTTGTTTTATGGAATTTGCATGACTATATTCTTGCCTTATCTCCTCACTTTGCCACTTTGTAGTTGAAGATACCACCAATTTGCCTCCTTCCCCTCCCCCCTCGCCTGCAGCTGAGCACTTTGGTCCTTTGGAACAAGGTAGGTCAAAAAATAAAAAGAATATATATTTTATATATATTATGAGTATGGTTTCCTTTCCCCCCTAACTATAGCTTCTGGTCTTCGTTATCACCAATGTATTTGTGTGCTGGTATGTACTGGCACTACTACCCCATGCTGAGGTATACCTCATCTCCAGGGGACTAACAACACACTGATACTGGTAATTTCATTGTGCTTCGGTGCAGTGACAATAAAGCTGATTCTGCTTCTGATACCCAGTGAGGAAAACCACCAAAGCTGCTAAAAGCAACATGTCCTCTTTTTTCCCATCATCCATCTCCTCTTGGATCCTGCTTCCTTCTCTTCATCATACATCTGGAGCTGTATCTTCATTGTCACCATAATTTATTCTAAATGAAGACATCTTCACATGCATGAACAATTTCCTTATTCCACGTGCACTCTTTATCATCACATTCATCCACTTCTGTTTTAAACCTCCACATGTCGCTGCCTCCCCATTAACTAACGTAGCAGTCAGTTTAGGTAACTCCAAATTCTCGTTACTTGTTCTTTTAGGTTTTCCATTTTCTTTCCTTGTCTGTGATCGTGCTGTGCTTTCTGGTTATCATCTGTTTTCTGTAATGTGTTTGGTTATGTCCACTTCTCAGAAATTTATTTCCAAAAGTAATACAAATTGTGAAATTAAGGCAAGATGCAAAAGAAAAAGGACAAAAACAACAAACTGAATAAATAGAGACGCAACCGCAAAACTTGATTTGTAACTTTTAGGCTTTAGGCTTTTTCCTTATAAAATACTATAACTGCTATTCCCATAAATTATGATTTAAACATTTTTTAAAGTCAGCAATATAATTTGATGTTTGATGTCTTTTTCCAGTTTCCTTGATAAACCAAAGACAAAAAATATTGAGGCATTTTATTGTGTTATTGAATAAACAAACAATTAAAACTATACCCTTTAAAGTGAAGGTATAAGTCAATATTACTATGATGTGTGTTCCTAACCAGTCAGAGCAGTAAGAAGATTTATGCATTTGAGGTGGTGGTGTCCCTTTAAAGCGATCAGTTAAATTAACTGGAAAAGAGATTTGTTTTTGTTACAGTTGGCTTTGTGACAACTACAACTGTGAAGTATTATTGCTGTTGATGCACTTTTATTGTTGACTGTCTTATCATTATTATGAAGTGCATTAGACTTCTCCCTTAAATGATGTTCCTTTTGTTGAGCTCAGATAAAGGCTGGCCCCTAGAAGCTTTGACACCTTTGAGTTGCTTGTCACTGTACTTGTGGTGTGTGTTACATCTCCGATCCTTTCAACCAAGCTTCTTGTTTTTACATTCCTTTTTAGTGAGTCTTTTCCGGTTTTGTTGCCCATTCTAAATTAGTATTTGTTCTTATGTTTTTTTTTTTTTTTCAAGTTTGTTTGAACCCCCTTTTCTTTGGAAAAAAAAAATGTCCGTCTTAAAAAGTTATGTAAATGTTTTGACTTTTTGTTTGACTAAAAAGTTGACATGTATAACTTAAATATACAGAGTTAGTCCAAATTAATTAGACCATTCAGTATAGAGTAGTCCCTCGTTTATCACGGGGGATCCGTACACTCAAGCCCCGCGATAAGTGAAAAACTGCAAAGTAGGGATAGTAGTACAAGTAGTAAGTAGTAGTTTATTTTAGTGTATATATATATATATATTCCAATATATAGATAGATATTAAGGCATTTTAAAGCGCTCTCAGCCATGCCCACTTCTCTGCTCTCCACAGAGATCAGCTGATCAGCTGCAGGAGGAAGCTTATTCTGCAGTGTGGGCTGCACAAAGGTGCAGCACGTGCTAAATAATTTAAAGTAATTTATTTTAAATAAAAATTCCATGCCTATCATGCAGCTCATCCATCAATCAGACAATTGTGTGTCATGTCCAATCTTATTTTGAAAAACTTCGATAGAGCAAGTCCGCGAAAAATGAAGCGCTAAGTACCGAGGGACTACTGTAACTTGATATTGATCAAGGTAAATTATTTTATTACAATAATTTTATTTCTTGTCTACCTTGGTTTAAAGTAAAACCAAAATGCAGCACTTTTTTTTTTTTGTAATTTAAAAGAAGGTGGCACAGATGAATTGCAATACAAAATATTACAATAAAAATAAAATGATTTAACCATGTATTCTACGAAGGCACAAACTTGTCAAAACAAGATTTTAAAACTCATCATTTGTAAAATTTTCTTTAAGATGGTCATTTTTATGTCTGTTTTCCATTTCATTCTTATTTATTTTGACTTTTTCATTCCCTTTCACACTCTTTCTCAGTCTGTGTCCAAATTTCCCTGCAGTTCTTCTCCTTGTGTCTGTCTTGTTCGTAGATGTAGGGGATGAGGAGGAGGCGGGCCCTCTCCGCCGCTTCCAAAATTCTCGGGAGAGGTGCAAGTTCCTCGCCCCCTCCATCTCAGTTTCCGTGCCCGAGGATGACCCCTACCACTCCGACGAGGAGTACTATGAGCACCCATTGTTCAGCCCAGAGTGGACGCACTCGGGCGCTCGCCCCACAGGGCACACCGTGGCCTTTAGACAGATTGAAGGTGAACCACGCATGGTTCCTCTTTGTCATTCTCCCCTCATCTCTTCACTCTTTTTTTCCTTTGTGATTCCATCTTTCCCTTCATCCCTCCCTCCTTTTGACCCCCACCGTCTCTCCGTCCGTCTGCTCGTCTTTTCGTATATTTGTCTGTCTGTCTTTGTGTTAGGTTTTTGTGTCTTTGTGATGTGTTTACTCAAAATCTAACATATTATTGAACAGTCCTACTTTTTTTTTCATCCATTTACCAAAAGCCATTGCTAGCTGTGGTTGCCACGCTGTTAACTCAATGCATAGCTGTGATGTTTTAAAGTTTGACAGTTGTTTGTTGTGAGCCATTCACTGAATATTCCCATTATTAAGACCAGATGGCTCGCAGAACTTTAATACAATTACTAAAGATCTCTTGCAGTCATAACTGTCTGACACTGTGCATGACCTCCGTGCACAAATCAGTCTCTTTGCCAAAGCCAAACTTGTATTTAAGTCTTAAATAAAACCCAGTGTCTTTAACCACAGTGAACTGTCTCACTACCTCTTCACACATCAATACCTACTCCTAACACTCTCTTGTGGCAACAAGGAAGACTTTCAGCTCCATCGCACACACACTCATGCACACACAACCCGACACAAATTAAAGAATACTCAAAAGTATTAGCCTTGTGCACTCTCATATGCACGCTCAATGGGTGTCCATGAATAATTTTCTTCTTATTATTATTATTATTCATGTTATGTATATATAGATATATATATATATATATATATATATATACACTTACTAGGTCAACCTGTTATATCAGATGTATATGCTGGTAAGAGGTTTACCAAAACAATGCTTTAGTTATTTTTGTTGCAAGACTTTTCACCACTTTTTATCTTTTGTAATAGTCAAAAAACAACAAAAGAGCAGAAAAATGTAACACAAATACATTGATTACACAGAACATGGATCTGAATTTTGCGAGAAGACAAAGTTTCCTGTTGAGCAGTTTTTGGTTGGAAATAAGAAATTGCCTTTATTTGCAGTGTGAAATATGTCTGTATGTAATATAGACACTAAAAATTACTGAGAATTTCTTATCTTGATAATGTTTTAAGGAAATATCAAGATCACATTCATTGTAGGCATTCTCAGTAAAAAAAAAAAAAAAAATCTTTGTGGAACCTCATATTGAATAAAAAAATCACTCACCCAACAACAGTGCACAATAAATCAAATGTTATTATACTTTTTAACAGTCAAACACTTATGTCAATCTTTTCACAGAGCTGAAAGTATCCCCTCATAAGTTGTGTTCTCATATTACCCAAGTCTGTGTTGCCTGTAGTCTAAACGTGTCCCCCCCCCCCCCTTCACCCTGTCTTGAGAAGAAGAGACCATGGAGGCTCTTACAGCTGAGTACGAGGAGGAGGAGGTGGAAGAGGAGGAGGAGGAGAGTGCAGATGCAGCAGAGTCCGACGCAGCTCTTGATGAGCAGCAGTGGAGTGGGGAAGAGCCCGAGCTGGACAGCCCCCAAGCTGAACCTGTAAATCAGGCAGAAGCCGTAGACGAGGCCCATGATGTAGACCTGGGGGTGTCTGAAACAGATAGTGCTGCTGCAGAAAGCTCTATGGACAGAGAGGAAGAGGAGGAAGTAGAGGGTGAGGAAAGCCATGAGACAGGTGTGTCCTGCTCTCTGCTCTTCCTGCCTGCATGTTACTGCATTTTCCACTATTTTAGAAGGCAAGATGTGTCAAAAGAAGTAAATAACTTGGCATTTATTCAAGAGGAATGGCAAGTAATTCTCCCTGCGCTCTGCTGCGGCTGCAAGGCAACACAGGCTTGTTGGTGAAAACAGCCGCATTGTTTAAATTGAACTGGTTTTATTGTGTTATCTTTGCTTCTATTTTATTTTTTTTCTTATGTTTTGCCTTGTTTTTTGGGGGCCGGCCATTTTGTGATGGTATAATGATGTGAAGTGATGCTAACAGTGCTTATTTCAATTTCATCAGCTTATAAGCTTATAGGATTCTCATTATGTATACCCATAGTGGCTTGGTGCTAGTATGCCAGTACTACACATTCTTTGTTGCCATGATTCATAGTTACAAAACATGCATCACTCATTTTGTTATCAAAATTGCTAGTATAGATAGTTAGCAGGTGGTCTGTGTTAGATATGTCATGCTCAGTTTGGTGCAGTTAGTGCTTGAACCATATCTCAATAAATATTGGACTTAAAAAATATCCAAAAACCTCAATTTGTTATTTTGTCACTTTTTTGCCAGTGACACTAAATGGCATTCCTTTATCATAAATTCACAAGTTGCTGGTGAATTTTAGGTTACATAATGACATACAGCCATCAATATCCAACAGATATGTAGGGAAAAAAAACAAAAAAACCAAAACTGATATTGTTAACTTTTACCTAGAGAAATTCTCAAAGAATTACACATACAAAGAATGACAATAAATATTTTGGGGGGTTAATGTTTGATGCATGGATATTCATTCCATCTGTTGTAAATTTTTCCCATGAATCAGCATTGCAGTTGCCTCATATCGGATCTGTCATCCCATGTTTTTCATCCATCTGTGACTTGTTGGACCCATAATCTCACCGTACCTCTTCAGTGATGGCTGTAGCATTGTGCTGTAAGTTTCAAAGGAGAGCTTTGCCTGTTTTTGTGAAAGCTTTCCCCATCACTGGCTTAACAAAATAATCCCATTCAAAGCATGCTGAAGCAATACTTTTCTCTGTTGATGAAAAACAGCCAACTTGCAGATTTCTTTACAGCTTTGAAGATGGACTCAGACAAGATTGAAAGTGAGTCCATGAGCCCTGACAGCATTGGATCTGAGAAACGCCCAGAGGAGTTTTTTGAGCCTCAAGTTCAAAGCTTCTTCGCCGGTGAACGAGTTGTACCTGAGAGCCCGACCATGGATATGCCATGCTTTGTACCTCCAGAAATTCAGAATCAAGCCAAAGAATCACCTAAATCTCTTACTCTCCAGCCCACTTATGGAGAGCCAATCACAGTTTCAGAAAAACAGCCATCAGTTGAGGTGGTGGAGTTCAGCAGCATTGGTGCTCCTTCTGATTTCTCTTCAATGGGAGTCAAATCTCAAGTGGAAGACACAGCAAAAGACATAGGAGACAAATCTGGCATGTCAGCATACTTTGAAACATCAGCTATGGATGTTAATGAAGGTCCGCATAAGGGTGAGGGGTATTATGAACTAAGTCGTGCTGGTGAAAATAAAACTATGGGTGATTCCAATACTCAGGAGATCAGTTACAGCACATTAGCTGAAACTAAGGATAAACCTGAAACAAATAAACATACAGTAAAAGACATTTCCTCATTTCCAGTTCCTGACAGAAGTAATGAATGCAGGCTTTCTCCAGGTAAGTTGGCCTTGGAGCAGAGAAGTTATTCACTCAACATAACCATTGGTTCAACAGATCAAGGTGGGCAAGGCAAGCCAAGAAATTTCTCCCCACTGGCTACAGACATTATGTCATACACAAGCGGAAGTCTAGATGAGTCAGCTGACTACCTTCCAGTATCTACACCTTCTGTTGAGAAGCCAGCACCATTCCCTCCTCTTATCCTGGAGACTGCAGCTTCTGTTACGTCAGATTCTTCATCTCCTCCACGGACTGCTGAACCACCTCCCAAATCAAGCCCTGAACCAGATTCTCCAGAATCACCTCAGGCACCTAAGAGTCCTTACAAATATGATACAGTGATGGCACAAGACTTACCAGAGATGCTGGATCTTGCTGATACCCACTCCAGACTATCTTCAGAAAGCACAGATCCTGAAATCAGCCGGCGAAAGTCGATCCAAGCTGATGCTCCTGCCTTCATTGATGACCCTCTGGCAAGCCTAACTTCAGGAGAACTGAGTCCTGTGATCAGAAAGAATGAGAGCCAGTCAGAAGAAATGGGATACTGTGTATTCAGTGAATATTCAGGGCCAATGCCATCCCCAGCAGATGTACTCAGCCCTACAAACACTTCTAAACAAGCCTTCACCCCTTCTGTCTTGGAGGCGAAAGTTGCTGAACAGGCAAGGAAATTAGCTGTGAGAGATACATCCATGGAAGACAAAATTCAGCCCTCAGAATTTGCTAATGATGAACAGCAGCAAAGAGAAAGAAAAGATTCTGATGACCAAAAAAGCAAACTTGATGTAAATGATCAACCAACAAAATATATACATGAGATGCCTCCTGCTCCACAAAGTGAGCACTTTGTGACACCAACAGTAACAGTGACACTCGAAGAAGGGGAGAAGTCAGTGAGTGAGATTGAACGCCAAGCCAGCGGTGAAGTTTCAGCATCAGAAACAGAAATTGCAGACTATGAAAGGCAGATCCGCAAACTAGAGATGGAGGACAGACCTCTGAGTTTGGAGGAGGAAAGAGAACTACGGGAGCTCAGAGAGAAGGTGAAGCTGGTGCACCAGGAGGCCTATGAGGAAGTGGATGCAGAAGATGTTTACCAGCTTACTGGCATGGCCAAGGACCGAATCGCCAGACCGGTGAAAACTTCACCTACTTCATCTGTGGATAGTAACATTGATGATGACAAACTGCTCTCCCCAGTACTCTCACCTTCCAAACTTAAGCAAAGAGAAATGTATGGTTCCCCCAAAAGAGTTGCTTCACCGGTGTTGGGAAGGAACAAAGAAGACAAGGCTGAACAGGAACAAAAGCTGAAAGAAGAGCATGAAAGGGAAGCAGCTGAGAAGATGAAAAAGGATGCAGAGGAAAGGAAAAACAAAGAGGAAGCAGAAATAAATGAAAGACAGGATAAGGAGAGACGAGAGAAAGAAGATGCAGAGAAGGTGTTGAAGGAAGAGATAGAAAAGGAGAAAGCACAGGAGATGAAAGAGAGACTGGAGAATGAGCAAAAAGAGAAGGAGGGAAAACATTTAGAAGAGAAAGAGAAGAAAGAGAGAGAAGAGAGGGAGTTGAAAGAGAAGAAAG